TTTGGTCGAGTTTTAAATGGCAAATATAAACGTTTATTTGGATTTTAACGACATTTTGACGCATGCGCAGTAGACATTTTCGCCACAGGTTTTTTTTTTATTTTTTATTTTATTTTTATTTTTATTTTATTTTAATAACTTAAAACCAAAACTAACGGACATACATGTAAACTTAAATTAAGTCAGATATTATACGTAGAAAGAAATCAACACAATAAAACCGAAGAAGTGGTTAAAAAAAAAAATCCTAATTCTTCTGTAATATTGAGTGTTTTGATAGATTAAAAGTTAAAAATACTGTTTAGTGTTTGAAGATAATTCTTAATGTCGAGGATATTGATTTTAAGTAAAAGTCTTTTATCGAATGCACAGGTTTATTAAATATTCAGTTTTATATCGTTTATGACGGACACTTCCGCCGCAGATCGTGCAGATACAGTTGCCATAGTTACCGCACCAAAAGCTCCTCTAAATTTATTGTAACGCTTCGCCGGGCCCGTGCGGAGCTGTGAGCGCCCCGTGCGCGCCCCCTGCCGCTGTGGAGGAGAAGTGTCCGCGCTCCTGCAGGCGGAAGTGTTCGTGCAGCGGCTCGTGGACGCGCGGAGTGTCACTCTGGAGTCTGTTGAATTTGACAAAGTCTCGTGTTTTTGGAGGAGTCATCATCATCATCATCATCATCATCATCATCATCATCATCAGCAGCAGCAGCAGCGGCGGCGGCGGCGGCGGCGGCTCCGCGTGGACGTGACAAAACCGCAGCTCTGACATGAGGCGGCGGCGCGAGCTCCTCATCACAACCAGGAAGGAAGCGCGTGTCCGGCTCTGCAGCTCCTCATCTCTGCACACACACTCTGCACACACACTCTGCACACACACTCTGCACACACACTCTGCACACACACTCTGCACACACACTCTGCACACACACTCTGCACACACACTCTGCACACACACTCTGCACACACATCATTAGTGCTCGGGTTCGGACATGAGAGCCGCCGCGCTGCTTCTGGTTCTGGTTCTGGTTCTGTTCTCGCTGTGGCCGCGGGTCCGCGGGACTCTGTCCAAAACCGACGCCAAGAAAAGTCACAAAGTTGAAGTTGAGGTAAGAGAATTATTCCAAACAAACCCTAACCCTGAAGCGCTGGTGTGAGTGTGGAGCGCTCCCTCTGAGCCGCTGCTCTTGTGGCTGCAGAGCTCCCCCTCCGAGCTGCTGGTGCTGGAGCGGGGGCTGGTCGTGTCGGATCCTCACTGGAGGGAGATCGTGAAGGAGGAGAAGAGATACTGCGCCCACATCAGGAAAAGCTTCAGCGGACACGTGCTGGGATACGTCACACCGGTGAGAAGAAACACACACCAAACACTCTGTGCTTTAAAGTTTCACTGGGGAACTTTTCTGGTGCAGGTCTGGAATGTTCCATTAAATGTGTTTATGAGTCCAGTTTGACTTATTGCTCAAGAAGAACCTTGAGCTCCAATCATGCAGCGCCCCCCCCCCCTCAGGTTCAGTCCTGGTCTGGTCCTGGTTCAGTCCTGGTCTGGTCCTGGTCTGGTCCTGGTCTGGTCCTGGTCTGGTCCCTGGTTCAGTCCTGGTTCAGTCCTGGTTCAGTCCTGGTTCAGTCCTGGTCTGGTCCTGGTCTGGTCCAGTCCTGTCTGGGTCTGGTCGGTCTGGTCCTGGTAGTCCTGGTCTGGTCTGGTCTGGTCCTGGTCAGTCCTGGTTCAGTCCTGGTCTGGTCCTGGTTCAGTCCTGGTTCAGTCCTGGTTCAGTCCTGGTCTGGTCCTGGTCTGGTCCAGGTTCAGTCCTGGTCTGGGTCTGGTCCTGGTCTGGTCCTGGTTCAGTCCTGGTCTGGTCCTGGTCTGGTCCTGGTTCAGTCCTGGTCTGGTCCTGGTTCAGTCCTGGTCTGGTCCTGGTTCAGGTCCTGGTCTGGTCCTGGTTCAGTCCTGGTCTGGTCCTGGTTCAGTTCTGGTCTGGTCCTGGTCTGGTCCTGGTCTGGTCCTGGTTCAGTCCTGGTTTGGTCCAGGTTCAGTCCTGGTCTGGTCCTGGTCTGGTCGTGGTTCAGTCCTGGTTCAGTCCTGGTCTGGTCCTGGTCTGGTCCTGGTCTGGTCGTGGTTCAGTCCTGGTTCAGTCCTGGTCTGGTCCTGGTCTGGTCCTGGTCTGGTCCTGGTCTGGTCCTGGTTCAGTCCTGGTCTGGTCCTGGTCTGGTCCTGGTTCAGTCCTGGTCTAGTTTTGTTTTTGGTGTTTTTGGAGTTTCAGGTTCACTGTGGACAGACTCACTTCTGCATAGATCTGATTCGGTTGTTTGTATCAGTTTCTCTTCTCTATGGAGAGAAACGTTTAATGCTGCAGTGTGGAACATTTCTGTTCTGTTTGAGTGACTGGAGTGTCTGGTGTGATCGTCGCAGGTCGGACTTGAGTCTCTGTTCTGATTAAAACTCGATGTTTCCTTTAAAACATTTTCAAAAACACTTTTGATCCACACGAGTTTCATTTAATTTAAAGAAACAAACTGGAACATTTCCTCTTCTCTCTGTCACCGTGGACGACGTGACTGAAGTTCTGTGTCGTCAGATTTGATGTTGGGGCCGTGTCAATTAAAATAAGTTTCATTTCTCAAATGAAGCGGCTAAAACACAAAGAAAACTACATGGACCATGATGCTTTGCTGCAGCTCAGAAACAACAGAATCATTTAAAACAAATTTAAATCTGAATCTTTCTTTTCTGACCATTTGATTCAGACTAAAGTCAAGACGTTTAAAAAGTAAAATCTGCAGAAAACTGTGTGTAAAAATAAACTTCAGGACAATTTAGTTTAAAAATGTAAAAAATATTTCGTGGTTTTGTTTTTTTCCGTTTAAAGATTTTTTGATTATAAAACGACGACTCGACTCCGATAAAAGAAGAAAACTCAGATCTTCATCAGTGTGAAAACACAACGTCTGACGCACAAACACACACAAAACACACACACACACAACACACACACACACACACACACACACACACACACACACACACACAACACAACACACACACACACACACACAAACACACTAACACACACACACACACACACACACACACACACACACACACACACACACAAACACACACACACACACACACACACACACACACACACACACACATAAACGCACAAACACTGGTGTAAAGATAAATATCACACTGAGACAAACAGAAGATAAACAAAATATACAAACATGTTACACACAGACACACAAACGCACACACTCACACACACACACACACACACACACACACACACACACTCACACACACACACACACACACACTCACACACACACACACACACACACACACACATCACACACACACACACACACACTCACACACACACACACACACACACACATACAGTCTGTGTATTTATATTTATATTGAGTCTGAGCCTCGTGTGACTCTGACACTGGAGCTGTGTAAAAATATCGATATATCGTATCGTTTAATGTGATAATACAGTATCGATATCGTGTTCTGTTGTATCGATATTTCACCAAGAGGATTTTTGGTTTGTTTTCTTTGTTTTGTTGATTAAAATATTTGTGTTTCATTTGAACTTTGTACAAAAAATGATTTAACAAAAACTTTTAGTGTCACAGATGCACTGATTTAGATTTTTATTTTTATATTTTAAAAATATCGTATTGAACCAAAAGTTCACAGTGTCGATGTTTGTATCGTGTCAACGACGGGTCACATCTGCACACGACACCTGGGTCTGAGTCTGAGTCTGAGTCTGGGTCTGGGATTATGGAAGAACAGATTTTACATTTTATCGACATAAATTAAAGTTTTTCTGTTTTTCTGCGTTGACCAAAGAGACAAACTCTAGATGATTTCATGTTCCTCTCATGAAGCTCGTTCCCTGCTCTACTTGTGTTCCTCTCGTGTTCCTCTCGTGTTCTTCTCGTGTTCTTCTCGTGTTCCTCTCGTGTTCTTCTCGTGTTCCTCTCGTGTTCCTCTCGTGTTCCTCTCGTGTTCTTCTCGTGTTCTCTCGTGTTCTTCTCGTGTTCCTCTCGTGTTCTTCTCGTGTTCTTCTCGTGTTTCTCTCGTGTTCTCTCGTGTTCCTCTCGTGTTCTTCTCGTGTTCTTCTCGTGTTCCTCTCGTGTTCTTCTCGTGTTCTTCTCGTGTTCTCTCGTGTTCCTCTCGTGTTCTTCTCGTGTTCTTCTCGTGTTCCTCTCGTGTTCTTCTCGTGTTCTCTCGTGTTTCTCGTGTTCTCTCGTGTTCTTCTCGTGTTTCTCGTGTTCTTCTCGTGTTCCTCTCGTGTTCTTCTCGTGTTCTTCTCGTGTTCCTCTCGTGTTCCTCTCGTGTTCTTCTCGTGTTCCTCTCGTGTTCTCTCGTGTTCCTCGTGTTCTCTCGTGTTCTTCTCGTGTTCCTCTCGTGTTCTTCTCGTGTTCTTCTCGTGTTCTCTCGTGTTCTTCTCGTGTTCTTCTCGTTCTCTCGTGTTCTTCTCGTGTTCCTTCTCGTGTTCTTCTCGTGTTCTTCTCGTGTTCCTCTCGTGTTCTTCTCGTGTTCTTCTCGTGTTCCTCTCGCGTTCTTCTCGTGTTCCTCTCGTGTTTCTCTCGCGTTCTTCTCGTGTTTCTCTCGCGTTCTTCTCGTGTTCCTCTCGTGTTCTTCTCGTGTTCTTCTCGTGTTTCTCTCGTGTTCTTCTCGCGTTCTTCTCATGAAGCTTGTTCCTTGTTCTTGTCGTGTTTGTTCTTCTGCAGTGGCACGCTCACGGGTACAATGTGGCCAAACTCTTCACGCCGAAGATGAGCTCGGTGTCTCCGGTTTGGTTACAGCTGCGCCGACGAGGACCAGAGACTTTCGACGTGTCCGGACTCCAGGACCACGACCCAGGCAGGTTTCACCGAGAGCTGAAGATCACAAATAAAACTGTTAGAAAACTCAGAAATAAAACTGTTAGAAAACTCAGAAATAAAACTGTTAGAAAACTCAGAAATAAAACTGTTAGAAAACTCAGAAATAAAACTGTTAGAAAACTCAGAAATAAAACTGTTAGAAAACTCAGAAATAAAACTGTTAGAAAACTCAGAGTTCTAACTCTTTTTAAACTCGTGATGATCTGACGTCTTCGTGTCTCTAAAGTTTCACTCTTGTGTTTCTCAGGTTGGGTCAAAGCTTTACGAAAGTCCAACAAGAAAGTCCGAATCGGTGAGTGACCTGAGCTCTGAATGACGGGTGGGACTCGGGTGGGACTCGGGTGGGACTCGGGTGGGACTCGGGTGGGACTCGGGTGGGACTCGGGTGGGACTCGGGTCGGTCTGTGGTCTGTGTTGTTTTTCTCTGTTCATAAATCCAGTGATTTATTTGTGTTAAACACATAAATACAGAGTAAGTGGTTCTGCCTCAGGGCAGCTGTGGCTACAGCAGTAATTTAAACCAACACTGAGTCTGGACTGAATAATGATCATAAAACATCTGAGACAAAAGTCTGTGAAAAACACTTTACATGATCAACACACACAAAACACACACAAAACACACACAGACATGTCACTTTCACACTAGGCAGTGTGGGTGAAGTGTCTTGCCTAACGACACAGCGGTTGTGTTGAGCGTCTGACAGGATCAGACTTTGACAAACCGACCACAGAGTCAAAGAATCGAAGCCTCAGGGTTTTGTGTTTCCAGATGAAACGTGGAGCTGCAGAGTTTGAGGTTCAGTTTCATCGTCTGGTTTGTTTTTCTGTGATAAGATCAGGTCTGAGCTGTAGAGGGGAAAGTACATGACGTCTATGACTAATATTATCAGCTCAGTTTGACTTTTATCTGTTGCAGCTCCAGACTTTTTATAACACTTTTTATTTAAAAATGTTCACTCAGATTTTCCTGTTTTGTGTCGGTGGAAAAAAAGTCGTTTTTAAAATTTTTCATTTCAGTGTTCCTCTGTAGGTTCAGGAGGTTCAGGAGGTTCAGGAGGTTCAGGAGGTTCAGGAGGTTCAGGAGGTTCAGGAAGTTCAGGAGGTTCTGGAGGTTCTGGAGGTTCTGGAGGTTCAGGAGGTTCTGGAGGTTCAGGAGGTTCAGGAGGTTCAGGAGATTCTGGAGGTTCAGGAGGTTCAGGAGGTTCAGGAGATTCTGGAGGTTCAGGAGGTTCTGGAGGTTCAGGAGGTTCAGGAGGTTCAGGAGGTTCTGGAGGTTCTGGAGGTTCTGGAGGTTCTGGAGGTTCAGGTTCTTTTCTGGAGGTTTGGAGGTTCAGGAGTTTCTGGGGGAGTTTGTAGAACTAGAACTTCTCTGTAAACTGTTTTTTTTTAATCTTCTTTCACACAAACACCTGCGCTTTAATCAAACAGCCACAAAACTCCGACTGTTCCACTCGTTCATCTAAACTCTGTGGATATTATTTGTTTCTATGGAGACGTCAATGTTCTGCCCGGAATGTTCCACAGTGACTTTAAACATTTAAAACTTTACATTTATTCAGTTACAGGAGATTTTATGACTCAAAAAATAAAATAAACAGACCTTCTGTCTGTGAGCGGGGTCGCCTCTCCACAGATCTGACCTGGAACACCGTCTGGTTTGGTCTCTATGAAGATAGAAAGGTCTAATGCCACACACTGGAACATTTCAGACAAAGCAGTAACTGGACTGGACCTGGGACTGGACCTGGGACTAATCCTGGACTGGAACTGGGACTGGACCTGGACTAAGTCTGGCAGACATGCTGGCCTGTAGCTTGGTCTGGTTTGGTCTCCATGGAGATATAAAGGTCTAAAGCCGTACTGTGGAACATTCCGGACAGAGCAGTATCGTCTCCGTGTTGTATAATGATCTTTGTGGTTCTGGTTCTGGTTCCAGTTCCTCGGGTTCTGTTGGACGGTTGGTCGTATGAGGATTACATGAGCGTTTTGGGGCAGCGAAGACGAGATCGAAGAGCTGGCGTCTGAACTGGTCGACGTCGCCAAGGTAACGGATAATACTCCCTACAACTGTACAACAACTCACCCTTATGTCAGGGATAATACTCCCTACAACTGTACAACTGCTCCGATAACTCTGTGTTTATATAAATAGATGTAACTCCCCCTGCAGCCTCAGCGTTCCAAACAGGAAGTGAACACGGACACACTTCGGCTCCATCGACTCTGGCTCCAGTTCAGTTTGTGTTCATCTGAACCCTGCACCTGCTGCTTCAGGCTCTTCACTCTGGGCTTTAAATGTTCAGATGAATCGTCTCTACATGATCCTGGAGTGTTATTTCACTATTTTGTCCGTAATTAAATTCCTAACTCCTTCCTAACACCGCAGGCCTCAGTGAGCTTCATTTGACTGGAGCTGGACTCTGTGGCGACGTCACGTCTTTACACAGTCTCTGGTTTAACTTTGTCCAAACATCTAAATAATAAACAATAAATGTTGTGTTTTTTCTCTTTTTCAGACCGAAGGCTTCGATGGTTTTACTCTGGAGCTCTGGAGTCAACTGGGAGGAAACAAACGCAAGTGAGAACCGATTATTCCCCACGATTATTCCCCACGATTATTCCCCCGATTATTCCCCACGATTATTCCCCACGATTATTCCCCACGATTATTCCCACGATTATTCCCCCCGATTATTCCCCCCGATTATTCCCCACGATTATTCCCCGATTATTCCCCCCGATTATTCCCCACGATTATTCCCCACGATTATTCCCCACGATTATTCCCAACGCAAATATAAGAGAAAAGTCTTTACTGTGACTCTGACTGTGTTTTGTGTGTGTTGTGTGTGTGTGTGTTGTGTGTGTTTTTCTGTGTGTGTTGTGTGTGTGTGTGTGTTGTGTGTGTGTGTGTGTGACAGGGAGCTGGTTCACCTGATCAAACACGTGTGTGAGATGTTAAAAGCGAAGAGACTGGACTGTCTCCTGGTCATCCCTCCGTCCATCACCAGGTAAAAACCCACGTGTGTGTATGTGTGTGTGTGTGTGTGCGTGTGTGTGCGCGTGTGTGTGTGTGCGCGCGTGCGTGTACAATGTGTATTGTGTGTGTGCGCGTGTGTATGTGTATTGTGTGTGTGTGTGTGTATAATGTGTATTGTGTGTGTGTGTGTGTGTATAATGTGTATTGTGTGAGTGTGTGTGTATAATGTGTATTGTGTGTGTGTGCGCGCGTGTGTGTCTGCGTGTGTGCGCGCGCGTGTATAATGTGTGTGTGCGCGCGCGTGTGTATGTGTATTGTGTGTGTGTGTGCACATGTGTGCGCGCGTGTGTGTGCGTGCGTGTGCGCACGCGTGTATAATGTGTATTGTGTGTGTGTGTGTGTGTATGTGTATTGTGTGTGTGTGCGCGCGCGCGTGTGTGTATGTGTATTGTGTGTGTGTGTGTGTGTGTGTGTGCTCATCCTGCCGCTAACCCGACACACTGCTCTGTCTGAACCTGTCACACTTTTATGCTGAGGTTTTACAGTTTGTGTTTGAATGAGTTTTATGTTTATGTCGTTGTGGTTTTGGTGCCTTGTGAAGACCACTTAGGTCCTCACTTCTCTGTTCACTCAGTCAAACTCAGATCACAGATTTTGACGTTGAGTAAAAGAACAGGTCAGATCTTGGCCCTGGTCTCTGGGTCACTTCAGATTTTTGAGGAGAGTTTTTGGAAGTTGAGCAGGAAGGAGCCCGGGGACCCGACCCGTGTTCTTCAGGTTGATGTCGTCAGGCAGAAGGTTCAGGGTCTCCAACTGTAAACTGAAGATTCAGACTTTCTTTTGTGCCATTCGCCGTTAATCTGATAAACTCAGAGAGCAGGTAAAAATAAAAGTAAAAGACTCAGGGAAGGTTCAGTCAAAACTGCAGACGTCAAAGAGAATGTGCGACTGTTACAGAACACGAGAACGTAGAAGGTTTAACCTGTAAAGAGAAACTTGAACGTCCTGTCGCTGCATCTTTCCTGTCACTCATATTTATTTAGTTCTATGGTGAATGTTTGTGTCTTTGTTTATGTGTTTGTTTTGTGTGTGTGTTTGTGTATGTGTGTGTTTTATGTGTGTTTGTGTGTGTGTTTTATGTGTGTGTGTGTGTGTGTGTTTCAGCTCGGGGCAGCCGGGGATGTTTGGTCCGGAGGAGTTTGAGGCGTTGGCTCCGGTCGTTGACGGTTTCAGCCTCATGACGTACGACTACAGCAGCTCCAGGTACAAAATCAAACCTGCCACCAGAATGTGGATCCACCAGTGTCCCCCCAGAGGACAAAACCAGTGTCCCCCGCCCAGGGGACAAGACCAGTGTCCCCCGCCCAGGGGACAAGACCAGTGTCCCCCGCCCAGGGGACAAAACCAGTGTCCCTCCGCCCAGGGGACAAGACCAGTGTCCCCCGCCCAGGGGACAAGACCAGTGTCTTCCGCCGACTACCAGACCCCCGCCCAGAGGACCTGACTCCCAGAGCCCAGAGGAGTCCGACTCTCAGCCCCCCATCAGGTCACCCCCCCCCCCCCGCGGGTCCCGAGCCCCCGCAGGGCGAAGGGCCTGGAGCTTCTGCCGCCGACGCTGTCGCTGTGTCCCAGTGTCTCTGTTTGCTTCACGCTGAACTTTGTCCTCTCGCCCCTGCAGCTCTGCAGCTCTGCAGCTCCGTGTCTCTGTGTCTCTGTCTCTGCTTTCACACGAGTCATGACCTGAAGTTTAAACCCGACTCAGACATGACACAGATTAAACTGTGACTGTGGAGCCGACGCTGGAGGAAAAAAAAACAACAAAGTGTGTTCTCCAAGAGTCTGGTCCAGCTCAGACTCAGATCTGTCATGAAACAAACAGGGTTTGTGTTTTTAATCATTTACAGTCCTGCCTCAAATCTACGCAGAACACGACCAATCAGGGAGCTCCCCGACGCCCCAGAGCCAATCAGGGAGCTCCCCGACGCCCCAGAGCCAATCAGGGAGCTCCCCGACGCCCCAGAGCCAATCAGGGAGCTCCCCGACGCCCCAGAGCCAATCAGGGAGCTCCCCGACGCCCCAGAGCCAATCAGAGTGCTCCTGACAGAGTGGGTGGCTGGAGGTCCTCTGGGCGCTGGTCTGCGGGCAGGTCCCGCTTCAGTTCACGTTCCAGAACCCGCCCAACCCGTTTGTTCTGGAGACGATCGTCTTGGTGTGAAAAAGCCTTAAAATTAAAGATGCACTCTGGAGTTTTTCTGGTGTCCATCACCCGCTCGTCTTCTGCTTTTTGAAGCTGCTTTTACTAATATAAAAAACACTTTTATATTTTTATGAAACTGAATTAAAGCTTCACAAATGAATGAAAATATTTGTGTCACAAAATGTTTAGAATGAAAAAAAAACATAAAAACCAGAGTGAAGTGTGTCGGTTTGGTCCACGCGTGTAAACGTGGTTCTGACAGGTGCACCTGTCTCCTGACAGGTCCGGGCCGAGCGCGCCCCTGCCCTGGGTCAGAGACTGTGTCCTGCAGCTCGCCCCGTCCCCCCAGTGGAGACACAAGATCCTCCTGGGACTCAGTCTGTACGGACTCGACTTCAGCGCCCAGGGAGCAGACCCCATCCTCGGGGACAGGTGAGGGGGGCGGGTGAGAGGGGGGGCGGGTGAGGGGAGGGGGGGGGCGGGTGAGAGGGGCGGGTGAGGGGGCGGGGACAGGTGAGGGGGCGGGTGAGGGGGACAGGTGAGGGGGAGGGGGGGGCGGGTGAGGGGGGGGCGGGTGAGAGGGGGGGGGCGGGTGAGGGGGGCGGGTGAGGGGGGGGACGGGTGAGGGGGCGGGGACGGGTGAGGGGGGGGACGGGTGAGGGAGGGGGCGGGTGAGGGGGGCGGGTGAGGGGGAGGGGGGGGAGGGGGTGAGGGGGCGGGTGAGGGGGCAGGGGGGGCGGGTGAGGGGGGCGGGTGAGTGAGGGTTGTGAGGGCGGGTGCATCGGGTGGAGGATCGGGTTTTGTCCCAATCGCTGTGACGTTTCTGTCTCAGGTTCATCGAGCTCCTCCGAGAACATCGACCCAAACTCCTCTGGGACGAAAACGCAGCAGAACATTATTTTACGTACAAAAGGTAAACGTGTCCTGGAGCGTGAAGACAAACGGACACTGCTCCGAGTTTTAACGTTTGTGTGTTTTGCAGAAACAGCGCAGGGAAACACGTGGTTTATTATCCCACATTAAAGGTTTAAATAAATATTATTTATAATAATAAATGTTATATTCTACATTTATCTGACGTGTTTTTCCGTTTCCTTCAGTCCGTCTTCATGAGGATTTCGTTGGCGGCTGAACTGGGCACTGGCGTCTCGCTGTGGGAGCTCGGACAAGGACTGGACTATTTCTATGATCTTCTATAGAGCGTCTGTGTGTTTCCTGTTTGTAGGCGCCATTTTGAGGACTTTTCAAAATACAAAACTGTTTTGGTTTGGATTATTAAAGACCCACATGACTCGACTGTTCTGTTCTGCTGTGGTTTCCTCGTCGCTCAGACAAACTGGAGTCGTGTTTTGTTTCATTCACATGTTTAACACACAAACCCTCAAACTGAAAACACTCTGTTCCACCTTGTGATGTCATCATGTGGTAATACAGGAAGTGCTCCACTGTGTTTTTAAACTCCACACACCGTCACTAGAATCATCTGGATCGTTTCAGTCGTGGAGTTGTTAAAGATTAAAGTGACGTTTGGATGTTTTTGCATTTCTTCTTCTGAAAGTGAAATTAATTAACTGCTCATGTTTCATCTTTTGGAAAACCACAGATATTCCAGAGCATCTTTTATTGACATTTAGAAACATTGGTCCTTTTCAGATCATCAACATTAAAACACAGGTACAAGTTTTTCTTAGTTTTCAATCATAACGACGGTGAAGAGGACGAGTCCGGTTCTACACAAGAACATTAAACATTTATAAACGGACAATAACAGAAGAGAAGGACGACGTCGTGATGAGTCCGGGCGCCGGGACTGTCGACATCTGAGCCTGATCGATACTAAAGAAATGAACCTTTGCTGAACGTGTTTAAAATGACCTGGAGCTGCATCAGAACAAGAACACAGACACACGGACCTGGTTTAGTTCTGGTTTAGACCTGGTTTAGTTCTGGTTTAGACCTGGTTTAATCCTGGTTTAGACCTGGTTTAGTTCTGGTTTAGACCTGGTTTTGACCTGGTTTAGACCTGGACCAGTGAGGGATTCCACAGATCTAAGGACACATGGGAATAGAGAAGAAAGTTTTACCATTTAATTTAAGAGTTTTTTTTTTTTTTATTATAATCGTAGGATCAGAATCAGTGTTGAGTTTGGAGTCAGTCTGAGTTTTCGTGCAGCTCTAGTGTCCGTTGTAAAAACTTAAGATATTTTTGAAAAGCCCCAGATCACCTTTTCTTCAATAAAGGAATGTTTTCCAGTGGATCAGACTCTTCTCCTGGTGTTTCTGTCCACGGGGTCAGGGGTTTAGGGTCAGGGTTTGGGGTCAGGATGAGGGTTTGGGGTCAGGGTCAGGGTTTGGGGTCAGGGTTTAGGGTTTCAGGGTTTGGGGTCAGGATGAGGGTTTGGGGTCAGGGTTCAGGGTTTGGGGTCAGGATGAGGGTTTGGGGTCAGGGTTTTGGGGTCAGGGAGGGTTTGGGGTCAGGGTTTGGGGTCAGGATGAGGGTTTGGGGTCAGGGTTTCAGGGTTTGGGGTCAGGGTTTAGGGTCAGGGTTTGGGGTCAGGATGAGGGTTTGGGGTCAGGGTTTAGGGTCAGGGTTTGGGGTTTGGGTCAGGAGGGTGAGGGTTTGGGGTCAGGGTCAGGGTTTAGGGTCAGGGTTTGGGGGGTCAGGATGAGGGTTTTCAGGGGGGTCAGGGTCAGGGTTTGGGGTCAGGGTCAGGGTTGGGGTCAGGGTTTGGGGTCAGGATGAGGGGGGTTTTGGGGTCAGGGTTTAGGGTTTGGGTCAGGGTTTGGGGTTTGGGGTCAGGATGAAGGGTTTGGGGTCAGGGGTCAGGGTGTGTCAGTTGTGATGGTGGTGTCTGTGTATTTGGTCTCCAACTTGTATCTCTCCACCTTCTTCCAATCAACTCACCAAAGGATTTCTGAATTCTACAAAATGTGCTGAATGACTCAAATCTGCTCATGTTCCAGTGTAAATGTGTCATTTTGGTGAGTAACTTCTGCGGTACTGATGGATAAACGTTTCTGGTTTCTAATCTTCTAACTGTAAGACTCGACGTGGCTTTACTTTCTCAATTTCTCACCACTGCTAAAATTAGGAGCTCTCAGCATTTTTGTTTTGTAAAAGAAGTTCAGCCGAGGGAAAAAGGCTGGAGAGCCTGGGGTTAGGGGGCTGGGATGTGTGGTTCTCCGTGTGTTGGTGGTTTCTCTGTGTGTTGGTGGTTCTCTGTGTGTTGGTGGTGTTGTGGTGGTTCTCTGTGTGTTGGTGGTTCTCTGTGTGTTGGTGGTTCTCTTGGTGGTTCTCTGTTGTGGTGGTTCTCTTGGTGGTTTCTCTGTGTGTGGTGGTTCTCCTTGGTGGTTCTCTGTGTGTTGGTGGTTCTCCTTGGTGGTTCTCCGTGTGTTGGTGGTTCTCTGTGTGTTGGTGGTTCTCCTTGTGGTTCTCCGTGTGTTGGTGGTTCTCCTTGGTGGTTCTCCTTGGTGGTTCTCTTGTTGTTTCTCTGTTCACTTGCTGGAGCTGAGCAGGATGAGGTTGTGCACAGACAGGGAGGTGGACTGGACGTTCTGACCCGTGATCAGGTGTCTGTCTATGACCACGTGCACCGCGTCCTCCTGACTCGCTGAAACCACAAGAAAATAACATTTAAATATAATAATAATGTCACAAGACGCCCTCAGCCTGCGGGGTTTTGTCTTCACGTTCACGGCGACATCAGCTCCACTGGACTCCACGGTTTTCTAACGCTGAAATCAACACACTTGTTTCTTCATGAACTCGTTTCAGATAAATATTAAGATTTAAAAAGTCACGATTAGAACAGAAATGATCCACAGGGAGTAAAACTATAAAGACACACAAACACAATCGGGTGGATTTAAATGAGTTTTGTTGTGTTTTCTGGTCCAGTCGTTCTCTCCCAAACAGAATCATTTAGTGTCTTGAATCTGCTGCTCAAACTCACCAAGACTGAAAGCTTCAACACATCTGGAAAAACTTCAGACCACTGGAAACAAATTTGAACTTGGAACCAAAAATGTGCAGAGGAAGGATCTTCGCAGGACTAAAGGATCTGGGAGAACAAGTTTGTTTCCCAGATCCTTTAGTTGGCAGAAGATTCTTCCTCTGCACAGTTTTTGGTTCCAAGTTCAAAATTTGTTTTTCTGAATGTTGTGTTGAAGCTTCAGTCTTGGTGAGTTTGAGCAGCAGATTCAAGACACTAAATGATTCTGTTTGGGAGAGAACGACTGGACCAGAAACACAACAAAACTCATTAAATCCACCCGATTGTGTTTGTGTGTCTTTATAGTTTTACTCCTGTGGATCATTTCTGTTCTAATCGTGACTTTTTAAATCTTAATATTTATCTGAAACGAGTTCATGAAGAAACAAGTGTGTTGATTTCAGCGTTAGAAAACCGTGGAGTCCAGTGGAGCTGATGTCGCCGTGAACGTGAAGACAAAACCCCGCAGGCTGAGGGCGTCTTGTGACATTATTATTATATTTAAATGTTATTTTCTTGTGGTTTCAGCGAGTCAGGAGGACGCGGTGCACGTGGTCATAGACAGACACCTGATCACGGGTCAGAACGTCCAGTCCACCTCCCTGTCTGTGCACAACCTCATCCTGCTCAGCTCCAGCAAGTGAACGCAGAGAACCACCAAGGAGAACCACCAAGGAGAACCACCAAGGAGAACACCAACACACACCACCAACACACGGAGAACCACCAAGGAGAACACACAGAGACACCAACACACGGAGAACACCAAGGAGAACCACCAACACCACGAGAACAAACGGAACACCAACACACAGAGAACCACCAACACACAGAGAACCACCAACACACGGAGAACCACCATCCCAGCCCCCTAACCCCAGGCTCTCCAGCCTTTTCCTCGGCTGAACTCTTTTACAAAACAAAAATGCTGAGAGCTCCTAATTTTAGCAGTGGTGAGAAATTGAGAAAGTAAAGCCACGTCGAGTCTTACAGTTTAGAAGATTAGAAACCAGAAACGTTTATCCATCAGTACCGCAGAAGTTACTCACCAAAATGACACATTTACACTGGAACATGAGCAGATTTGAGTCATTCAGCACATTTTGTAGAATTCAGAAATCCTTTGGTGAGTTGATTGGAAGAAGGTGGAGAGATACAAGTTGGAGACCAAATACACAGACACCACCATCACAACACACACCCTGACCCCTGACCCCAAACCCTTGACCCTGACCTCATCTGACCCCAAAACCCGACTGACCCTAATCCTGAACCCTGACCCCAAACTCATCCTGACCCCAACCCAAACCCTGACCTGACCCCAAACCCTCATTTGAAAACCCTGACCCTACCCTACCCGACCCCAAACCCTGGACCCTGACCCCAAACCTCATCCTGACCCAAACCCTGACCCTTGACCCCAAACATCCTGACCCCAACCCTGACCTGACCAACCCTCATCCTGACCCCAAACCCTGACCCTAAACCCTGACCCCAAACCCTGACCCTGACCCCAAACCCTCATCCTGACCCCAAAACCCAAACCCTGACCCTAAACCCCTGACCCCGTGGACAGAAACCACCAGGGAAGAGTCTGATCCACTGGAAAACATTCCTTTATTGAAGAAAAGTGATCTGGGGCTTTTCAAAATATCTCTTAATTTTTACAACGGACACTAGAGACTGCACGAAAAACTCAAACTACTCAAACTCAACACTGATTCTGATTCCCTACGATAAATAAAAAAAAAAAAACTCTTAAATTAAATGGTAAAACTTTCTTCCTTTCCCATGTGTCCTTAGATCTGTGGAATCCCTCACTGGTCCAGGTCTAAACCAGGTTCAAAACCCAGGTCTAAACCAAAAAACCAGGTCTAAAACCAAACAGGTCTAACCAGACTAACCAGGTTAAACAGAACCAGGTCCGTGTGTCGTGTTCTTGTTCTGATGCAGCTCCAGGTCATTTTAAACACGTTCAGCAAAGGTTCATTTCTTTAGTATCGATCAGGCTCAGATGTCGACAGTCCCGGCGCCCGACTCATCAGACGTCGTCCTTCTCTTCTGTTATTGTCCGCTTATAAATGTTTAATGTCCTTGTGTAGAACCGGACTCGTCCTCTTCACCGTCGTTATGATTGAAACTAAGAAAAACTTGTACCTGTGTTTTAATGTTGATGATCTGAAAAGGCCAATGTTTCTATGTCAAAAAGATGCTCTGGAATATCTGTGGTTTTCAAAAGAAACATGAGCAGTTAATAATTTCACTTTCAGAGAGAAGAAATGCAAAACATCCAAACGTCACTTTAATCTTTAACACACCGACTGAAACGATCCAGATGATTCTAGTGACGGTGTGTGGAGTTTAAAAACACAGTGGAGCCTTCCTGTATTACCACATATGACATCACAAGGTGGAAACGAGTGTTTTCAGTTTGAGGTTTGTGTGTTAAACATGTGATGAAACAAACAACTCCAGTTTGTCGAGCGACGAGGAAACCAAGCAGAAGAACAGTCGAGTCATGTGGGTCTTTAATAATCCAAACCAAACAGTTTGTATTTTGAAAAGTCCTCAAAATGGCGCCTACAAACAGGAACCAGACGCTCTATAGAAGATCATAGAAATAGTCCAGTCCTTGTCCGAGCTCCCACAGCGAGACGCAGTGCCCCGTCAGCCACCAAGAATCCTCATGAGACGACTGAAGGAAAACGGAAAAAACACGTCAGATAAATGTAGAATATAACATTTATTATTATAAAATTTATTTAAACCTTTAATGTGGGATAATAAACCACGTGTTTCCCTGCGCTGTTTCTGCAAAACACAAACGTTAAACTCGGAGCAGTGTCCGTTTTGTCTTCACGTCCAGGACACGTTTACCTTTTGTACGTAAAATAATGTTCTGCTGCGTTTTCGTCCAGAGGAGTTTGGGTCGATGTTCTCGGAGGAGCTCGATGAACCTGAGACAGAAACGTCACAGCGATTGGGACAAAAGATCTCCAGATGGAAAAACCCGCC